CTAGAGGTTGTTTCGGGAGTGAAGGAAAATGTGTGAGGTTTCTTGGGGGCGGGTGGTTCGTTATCTGTAAAAGATATAAGATGAAAAACCAAAATTTAAGACACATGTTTTGTGCGCCAGCTGTCATTTTCTTTAACAATTCAAATAAGCAAGTTTTCACACGAAGGGTGTTAAAAATGTACAATTAAGTACTGTAAAGGAACAACAAATATGTTACCTTCGTAATGTTTCGTTCTGAACGTCACTGTACGAACTTGTTCACTAAATTTAAATTCGGAACAATTTTTTCATGCACTTAATGTACCCCGGAGAATTCTTAACAACATTATATCATGTATACTTTCATAGAGTTAAATAATACAATCATCGAAAACAACATTTTCGTTCTCCGAATCCACTGACTTACTCCTAGCACAGTCGCAGCAATATATATGAAAATTACACCTAACTGCTCTCCAACTGTTGGTTGAAAAATAGTCACAGAACTTTGAGTTGTTATTACATCGCAATCCAAACCAATACTTTCGAACATGTATTGTCTCTTTCATACCGTACGTAACCAAAATTGAATAGAACTTACAAACAAAATCCTGACTGTTTAATTTTTTACATCTATTTTATTTCAAGATCAAAAGATCCACGTTTTTGTGGGAAATTTAATTAAAAGTTTAAGATTAATCGGAGTCAAGGGGAGTAGTTTTAATAATTGTACACAATAGTCCAAATTCTTACTTTCGGGTGCTTAATACTCTTTCGCGACCTAATCATACAATTTAATTCCCTGGAAAAATATTGGTCAATCACATTTTCAATGTTAAATCCAAATTATGGACCCATTTCTTTGAAGTGGACTCAATTAATGTTTTCTTCTAGGACTTATTTTGATTCAACATTTATTTTAATCTGTTTTTTGTTGTTTCTTTTGTTTTCAAATGTGATAGCGGAGTCTACTACAGCTGCTGCTGGTATACCGTGTGGACACTCCACATGTGGGAAAAATGCGATATGTGACAAATCTAAAGAGTATGAGAGGTGTCTCTGTAAACCGGGGTTCTATGGATCCCCTTATGGATCAGGATGTACTTCAGAGCCCGAATGTGTTGGTAAGTATCTAAATGTATTGTATTTTATGAAAAACCTTAACTTTGCGTGAGCACGTAGCTCTGGATCCACATCTGAATTTTGCAAGTTCCGAAAATTTTAGTTTCTATTCACGAGAATGGGTGATTTTCTCTACTAGCGTCGTAGCTGGGGGATTATTTTAATGTTGAGATCTCGCTACAAGATTTCTTAACTGGGTCTGTTGCCACTAATTATTAAAGGAAGGAAGGTTCATCCGAGAGGGTGTTTATTTGCAATGACGGAATTTGCACTGATCGGTCCACGCCAATGCCTAGATGAATTTTGGAAGGCAGCTCATCTTATCAGTATTTTCCGTAGGTTCGTCCGTCAGCTCCAGGCGAATGCCAGTGTAGAATAATTTTAAGGTCTTTTGAAGATATGCAAAAGTCTTATATAAAAACGTTTAAGATAAATTAATAATAAAGTGGTAATGTTGTAATACAATTTCGTAACTTGCGCATATACGCATATTTAGACATTTGATTGGTTTGTTACCTATATCTCCTATTTTCATTACACCACACATCTCATTTAAAATATTATTTTAGTTTGTTTATGATTTATATTATTTATGCATGATTAAAAAATAGTAAATATTTGTCAAAGTAAATGCACATTTTGAATGTTTTATTATTTGTATTAGGTAATTATTTTTTACTTCCTAAAGGTATTATTTAAAATGGCCTTTAGATGCATTTAATTTGCAAAATGTATTGAAAATTTTAGAATTCAAGAGTGTATTATAATAAAATTAATTTCATTTTTTTTAAAAAAAATTATGGTCTTTGTACGTACATGTTTTGGCCTGCACATGTTTTGGCAACAAGTCACTTTATAGACTTAATGAAATCATATTACATGTGTACCAAAAATTTGGACTGCTGTGTGTGGAAATAAAAAAGAACTACACAAGATTTGGAAATTATGCATTGTGTGCCTGGAGTGTAACAGACGGATTAGGAGCAAATACGAAACCACTTTCAAATCTCCCCCATAAATGTGAATAATTCAGATTCAAAGAGCACAGAAACCCCTGAAAATGCATACAGTTAAACACCTGAAGGGAACACCTGATGTACAAACCCATAAAACATATCCAAAAAAATGCTATTAAGCCAATTCCTTCTACAACTGCCCAAATATACAAGTCAAAAATCGACATTGTGTTCTCGTAAAATAATAGGAGTAAATGAGTTTAAGGAAATCGGTTCGAAATGCTTTCTCTTTTATTAGGACTCACACCTCAGTGACACATTTTTATGCCAAATTGATATAATATAAAAAAATTACTTATTGTCCAATCACAAGAATTAAATTTTCATTGGCTAGATTGAGGCGTTTGAGTAGAAAAGTTTCGTTTGAAGAATTTTAAAAATTGTTCAATGGGCATGAAGATAAAAAATAGGAACATTTTATATCCTTAGCTGATGATAAGTGACTAAACACTACAATTTCTTTACTCGTGATGTAGATAGAGGTTTGGGAACGAACAGTTCAAATGGAGAAAGAAATTCGAACACCCGAAAAGGTGGCTCAGACAATCAACTGATGTCACTGCAGAGTCTTTGAGCGGGAGGCATTAGTATTTAAGTACCGACGGTTGTAGAAATGTCGACACTATAAGTAGCTAAACAGCTCCCAGTAGGTCGAATTCAGCCGCTTTCCTGAGGAGAGGCCGGCCGCTCAGATCCGTAGTTTTCCATGGTTTCTCCGATCAACACCGGGCGAATGGGCGTGCAGTGCCCTCAGGGCCGGATTTACCTACAAGCAAAACAAGCAGTTGTTTGGGGGCCCCCATTCACCAGGGGCCCCGCGTTTCGGAAAAATTCGCATACCCTTTTTTTTTTTTTGTCTGTGAAATAAATGTTAATCAAGTAGTCTACTGTGTAACAAAATGTACAATTTCAATATCCTGAGTATGGAGCATGATAATCTGAGAAATCTTCGTTTTGAAGACATCATCGACCTATTTTCTGCAGTGAAGAGCAGAAAAAAATTATGTAAAATATATTTAATGTAAAAAAATGTAACCCAAGTAAAAATTTCTATAAAAATTATCAGTTTTCATTTGTATCTGTACAGAAATTACTTGTACTATAATACATTTTTTAAATAAAGATGGAGCTATTTTTTCGGAGGGGGGGGGGGCAACACAATTCTGTGCTTGGGACCCCGCACTTCTTAAATCCGGCCCTGAGTACCCTAACAAACGAGCCACGGGCCGCGCGCGATCCTTCCTCATCGTTGTCCAAACCCTATACCTTACTTGCACACACACACACACACTCGCACTACACTACCACCCATGTCGGGAGCTTGGAGCTTGTCCCTATTGAGCGGTGAATCGCTGGTGGGAGATACCCGGATGAGGAAAATCCCGCAAGTCGACTTAGGGCGGTGCCGGATCTCGCCAGCGGGTGAAGATCACCGCCACCTCACGCGGTAAAACATGCACTAAATTTACGAATCTAATGACCCTAGCAGTTGACGTGCCCGGAATCAGTTATCGATCAATCGATCAAACAAATTTCCAAATCAGTTCAAACAAATATCATTCTTTTGTAAATAAGAAGTGAATTAGTTCCATTGAACATTTTGTTAATATGAAATTCCCTGGATCTAGCTGGTAGAGACCATGCCTACCCTCTCACTTTTTGAAAATACTTGTCAATATAATTTCAAGTTATTACCTTATCTATATCTCATCATAAAGCTGAATTTCAATTATAAATATATTCATACATTCTCATAATTCGTATCTTTAATAATTAAAAATCTTTAAAATAAATTTAATTTTTATTAACATTTTCATAATTTTAAATCTATCTTTGAAATTATAATTATTAATTAAAAAGTAATAATTATGTTTAACACCTGTAAATGGTATTAAATGGTGTTTTATAGGATCCATTAATTGTAATTGGGAGGTTCCTGCCTTCTGTAAACAAATTTACACGACTAAGTAATAACAAGACATTGCTAAAATGCCTGATCAGTACAAAGTGCAGGGTATTAGATAAAGCAATCTTGATTGTTTGGTTGTTGATAAAATATGCATTTGATTACTTTCATTAATACACTTTAAATATATTTGCATAAACTAATTTAAAATTTCTTTTCAACAGATGATTTTGGATGTCCTGATGACAAAGCTTGCGAGTATCCCAATGTATGCATGAATCCATGTATTATCAAATGTGTTGATGTGGGTTGCAAGGTGACGAATCATAAGGCAGAGTGTATTTATGATGGACAGCTGTTTTGGGAACCTTATGTGACAGAACCAACTTCAACTACTGAAGGAAGCAGTTCCTAATTACATTGTATTAAATACTACATTGTATATTAATTGACTGGAAATTCATGCCAAATAAAACATATTTTGTATATAGATGTATGTATATATCTTCCATCCTAGGAAAAAAGCATACTGCAACTAAAGGATGAAAGTTACCTGTCACTAAGCAACCATCCAACCAACTATAGCTCCCACTATCTATTCTTCACTATTAGCGGATTGTCTTAGGTAGTGTTCTGAATAGTAAATGTTTTACAAAAATAAATATAGAATCAAGGGATACAAACGAATTAATTATCTTATGGGAAGCCATTAGATGGATAAAAATAATTTTCCAGTCACTTTAAATAATCAGAACTCTCAATCTTATTTTTGTGTCTAATGAGATGCCTATGGGAAAGTTTCAGTATATTTAATCAAAACTCCTGGAATTGCTTCCTTAGTAATTGTTTTAAAATGTTATAAAATGATGAAAGTTTATTAATACAATTGTAAAATTTCTTTAAAAAAAATTGTATGCCCATATATGATTATTTTTTGAAGCCAAATAATTAAGTTGTTTTCTCTGAAATTTGATCTTCTTATTGCAGACCTGATATGCCTATTGAGGTAATGATATGGAAATGATACGATCAAACAAATCTTCAGATAGAAAAATCTGAGATTTTATTTTCTGTATAAAAGTATGCAATGAATAGTTTCAAAAAGCATGTCAATTGTTTGAACAAATGAACTAATGAATGTAACAGCAAGAAAGAAGCAAAAATTATTATAACATTTTTTTGTAATAGAGTAGGAATGTTTATGAACTAATCTTTAGCAGATTCCAGAAATTTATAAACCATTCAATGTTACTTTTTTTGTTGATGCTAGCGTGACTAGTACCTGACCTCAAACTGCATCCTAAATATTGGAAATATGTGTATATTGTAAAAAAAAATTCAATCTTTCTATTAAGATGTTTCTTCCATTTAACTTATGTGAACAGATCTACTTCCCACTTTTGACAAAATCACTTTGTTGAAATTAGATATTTTACAAGAGTGAGATTGTACATAAATGTTAAATTTGAGGATTAGAATTCATACTTCTTATTTTTAGAGAAAATAAATAATTTCTTTCATTAGATATGATTCTGAGATATAGATGTGCTAAAAGTTGATTGAAGACATTCAGTATCGGACATTTACATGCTTCAGTTGCTTTTCAATATTTTCTGAATTGATATTTTAAATCTTTTCTCCTTTCTACTATACAATCTTTACTGTCCTACTTTTAAATTGAAATTTGAAGTGCACACAATATTTGTGCGTATAATGACATCTCTTCATAAATAAATTAATTTGAGTATGAATGTGCTTGCATGACTCAATCCAAAAAAAATCAGGAAGCAAAAACAATTCTCAAACAATAATATAAGTAATACACAATATATAAGTAATAATAAGTGGAACATTGCATTATTTGTGACAATTATTGATTATGGCATTTTGTTAGCGGTGTGAATAAATGGTATTTTTAAAGTTTGATTGAAATTTGCTATAGAGGTACAATGTTTTATCTTTAATGAAAAAGTAAATCTAATCGATACTCGTCAGATCATAATTGTTAAGTTCTATAATTTACATTCAGTAAAGAATGCTGCAAAATAAGATTATGAATTTTGAAAATCATTTGCTTTGGTATAACATTAAAATTGAGGGCATTTCTTTGATCAGTTCACATATTTATGAAAAAGAGATTATCTGTCCTTGTCATTCTCAGAATTAAGAATGCTATTGATTGGAATGAATGATTTTAGTTAATTTTGAAAATGAAGAAATTTCAGTGGATATTAAATGGAAATTTCTATCTAGTTGCAAAACCTGAAGGATCATTATCTTTCTGGATATAGATGAAAAAGAAAAATACTAATTTCAAACTTCTTATTCTGGAACTAATTACTAAAAACATGTTTGACAACTCAAATTGTGAGATATCAAATACATTGTTGATTTTCAAGGAGAGGATTTATAATGAATAATTGATGAGTAGCGTATAATAGTTCATAGCCTTATTTTCATTTGCAGAATTGTAAAAGAATTTAAAACAAAGATTTTTCAGATTTAATGCTTCAAAAATCGAACATTATTAATCTCACTCTTGCAGAAGGAATGAAGGAATGCCAAATAAATAAGGACCCAATATCTAGTATGTTGTAATGACCGTAAAAAGTACTTCTTTATTTACAAATGGTTTCAATAATAGGAAACCGAGTGTAGAATGAGACTTTTTAAAGAACATCCCCCTGTTGTACTCCCCTTCATAACAATAAAAAATTCATTCATCAACTTAAGGAATAACTGGCAGGCAAACATTACTTAATTCAAGAACCTTGTAAATCTGTCCATGGATATAAATTTGGGATGCAGTAAGCTTAAAAAAAATATTTCCTTTCCTCAAATGAAATTTGCATTACATCACACTTATCCTGGCAGTAGAAACGTACATATCATCCACATCACATTTTGGGTTGTCTCTACACCTTTGCATATATAAATATATAATAAAATTATCATACATTCATCAACAGTAACAACACGATGTCACTCATGTATACACAATGTGACTTAACTGAATTCTTCTTAATGCACAATATTGTACACAATGCTCAGTCCATATCCAAAATATCTGTTACACATATTACAAAAAAAACTTTTTTTTTTGGAGATTAAACAAGGATAATTTCTGTTAAAGTATGCGATACACTAAAAATTAATAAACTCACATTTTAATAAGTTTCCATGTGGATACTCAGAGTGCTGTCAAGTACCCAGTTTTCCCAAAAGATATGAATTAAGAAAGGTACTGGAACAAGGCAGGTGCAGCATACACAGTTCATATCTTTAAAAATATTAATCTACTTTGAATGAATCACACATGAAAATCTATTAATATGTGAGAGCCAATTCTCAGGAGATTATTTCTATAATTACATTTGGTGTTGTCAAGAATTAATTTACAGGCGTTTTATGATAAAATTTCTCTAGTGGGGTGTCTTGTACTGTATAACTACTCTAAATTAATATGAGTTTTATTAAGACTATTATAGATGGTAACAAGGTAATTGGATATTCTTAAATGTTCACAAATTTGGTGGTCGCCTTCAAATTATTTATTTTTAAGAAGTTCTCATTAATATCTATAGCAACTGATCCCAGACTTTAAATAACATTTTAATTTTCATTAGTGAATGATTAGATTAGATGCATCTGTCAGTCATGGATAATTTGTGTTTGTATGTGGGTTATTGTGATTATGTGCTACTTCACTATTGAAAGGTTGTTGGTGCAGTTTGCTTTTTAATTGAAATCTATTTGATTTGTAGGATTTTGTTCTTAATTATTTTTATATGAAAAGATAAATTATCTGAAATTGGACTTATCCTGCATTTTGTAATTCACCAATGACTCAATTTGTGTTTCATTAAACAGGCTTTCTAGAAAATGTACAACTCTTTTCGACTTGGTTTTTGTAGCACTCCTACATTACTGTACGTACCTGTAACTTTACATTTCCCAAAAGAATAATTTACTTACAAGTTTTAATTATTTGAAAGAAAATTTGATAGTTCTCTGCTCTTGGAAAGAATGTTCCTTATCATCATAGCATTTTCCATCTTCAATATCATCTGCTTGTGCTTCTGTAAAAGTGTAAGATGTGACCATCTACAATTGTAGACATATATTTAGAGCACTTTGCAACCATAATTAATAAAAACCTGATAGGTAAACTACTTCAAATGCTTTATAAAGATAAAATATATAAACTAAACAATATATAGTTTTTTGAAACAAGCATTTATATTTCTGAAGCTTAAAAAAATAAAAGAAAGAAATTTTCTATCTTCATGTTTGTGCTTGGCACAATGATTTAAGCAATTATTTCAGAGAATCTCCTTACTCAAAATGATATTTCAAGTGCATACATAAGTATTCTTATATACATACATATACACTTATTACAATTACTTATTCCATAGTTCAAATATATACATATATATACATATATATTGCAGCTTTTGCAGATGAATAGATAAGGCAAGCAATCTTGATGTAAACATTATCATATTTAATCCCCAGCAGTTCATTTAAAAATCTAATGAAAGTATGAAAGAACACCATTCCATGAATGCAAACAGTCTTTTATACTCTTTCAATTCACGAAAATTTAAGTCTTTTACTTGAAATATTAATAAACTTTCGAATTTTAATTTAAAACTATTGAAACAAGTTCATTGTCTTCTAATTTCACATCGAGATGAGTCTTAGGTAACTGGAAAGGCATCAAAATTAAATTAATCCATCTTAAACATTATTGATTGTTTCCTTAAACTTCATTAAAGTAACTTTATTGTACATTCATGAAACATTTCTAACTGGTGCATTTAGCTTATTGAATTATTCTGGTGACTTGCAAAGTGAATTGAACCTAAAAGAATGTGTAGATATTTTCTCTCTCCTACCCTTTTGCTTCCCTTTCCACCTTATGCTACAACTTAAAATCATTGAATAATATATAAATAGTGTCTTTATAGAGTTAATGCCCAACAGGACAGAAGATGAAATATTTAAAATTAGTATTCGTCCTGCATTATTTTCCCAAATTTTCAATATCAGTAAACTGTTAATGGACAATGTAGAATATATATTACAGGCATTATTAGTTTTAGTATAAGCATTACCAATTTTTCAGAGTATAAAATGATTTCTTATAATTGCAGATATTCTTTTATGTATATCACGATTTTACCAATGTAGCAATTTTTTTATTACAAAATTCCAGAGAAACAAATATTATTACACAACATCTTTAAGATTTTTTTTGGTATTCACATTCCATCTGTATTAATAATGACAAAACTCAACTAATAACTTCAAAAAAATCATTAATTTGCATGTTAAACTGTTAATCACAGTCTTCACTACAGAATGTGACATTAAATTTGATGAAATGAAAAATAAATACAATGAAAAATTTCTCATCATTGAAAGCCTGAATTAATTGCAGCTTAGTACAAAATATACATTTCTGTTAGAATTCATAGACAAAGCATATGTAATCTCCTTCCTGAACAAACCATGCAATTTATCAAACCAAATGAGCATGAACACTAAGAATGTCAATGTTTCTATAGAGGTGTGACATTAAATAAGCAATTTTCTTATTATCAGTAAAATGAATTACTAATTTTAAATGGTAGCTCTCATCAAGTCACTTGGACTTTGCATACAATAGAATGTATGTACAACTTTTTTCTTGCAGGTAAGCTCCAATACTTTAGAATAAATTTTCGAGAAGAACATTTGATGATCAGACATTTTGTTGTTTAAAAAATTTAATTGCAGTTGACAAAAATCTTTGATTCATTTCTTGCACATACTTCCTGAAAGAAAATATTGCATTAAAAATATTTGAGGCATAGCTAAATTCAAAATATCCTTATTCTTCGGAGAGTACCATCCCTTAATGTCACATCCATTAATAGATTTGCAATCATTAAAAATATGGTTATAAAGCAGCAGTGAAAATAAACACTATCACACAAGCCCATGATTTAAGAGTATGGATTATATGATATTTGATGCAAACTGTTCTCATTTCATCAAATGGAACTCAACAAAAAATGAAACAAAACAATTGTATGCTATTTTTATGAATCTCACAAACCTGGAATGAAGTACAAATTAAGGATTGTACAATTTCAGTACACAAACATTTGTAATAAAAAAGAAGAAATCACTTGTATATTGAAGTAGTGAAGTTTTTTTGTAACAATCCGAGGCTATTCTTTTCTTAACAATTTAGGCAGAATAAAATTCGTGAAGCAAAAGTTCCTTGTGCCTATAAGGAAAGTAGAGATGAGCAATACAATACACTATAATATTTAAAGCAGTCCAATTTCAGGAAAATTGTTATACTGAAGCAGCACTTTGATGTAATAATCATATGAAAATAGTTGTACCAATTGAAATTTAAAATGAATTTTCATCCATTTATTTCATTAGCACTATGTATTAATATAAACATTTTGAGATATTATAGACAAGTCTTTGAGACAGCGCCAAATTAAAGGCTCACAAGTAAGTGCAAGTTCTTCCGTTGCCAGATGAAGGTTATATACAAAAGTTTCTTGACAGCAATGTACTGGCAGAAAATGATAGTGAATGAGTAATTATATCACTTGACATTAAAGAAGAAATCTTAATCATTGTAATGCCTTTGGAAATACATAAAGAAATGGTTTTGGGGGTATTTAGCATAAGACTGATTCATCACCTACATCTGTCACTTCCTGTAAATAATACTAGTAAAGTTTTTATCTTGCCCTTTGAAAACTCCCATGTGAATTTAATACTAAATAGCATTCAGTACTCTTCGTGAGGAGCCTCTGTGTGGAGAATGGTAGTCTTCTGGGTCTCGCATTGCACTTCGGTGAGGAGGTTGGTGGTGATACTTCTCTTCTGGTCCTATGGGCCCTTGCTGATGTGGAACAGGACCGTAGTGGGCATGATGAGAAGGAGGGGGCCCATGATGGTGGTGATGGTGATGGTACATCATGCTGTCACGGGTTGCCAGTGGTGCATTGTAGTCATCATACTCTGCTCTGTCACGCTCCAAACGTGATCTTCCTCTGGGATGTTGATGATACACTGGAGCTGGTGGAAAAAGAAGATATCTCATGAAACTGGCAAGTTTAATGGAGCCAAAATACTTAAAAGGTCTATTTTAAGAGTGTCATAAATGTTACCAAAGAGCAGTAACCTTTGAGACACTATCAAAGACAAACTTGATACCTATTAAGTATTGTAGCTAATTATATCTGTATCTTTTAGGGAAACAACAGCAACAATGACAGCTAGACAAAGAAATGTAGTAAAGCCACCATATCTTTGGACGTGAGTGAAGTGACATTGTAAGCAAACTCGAATACTTTCAAATTAAAAGGGACACATGTGGTTTAAAGAGTGTCTACCACTGGGTACACACAGACTTAAATCTACTAAATAAATCATATAAAAAATACTGTTGAATGTTCAAAGATGGAAAGCAGTTATAAATACAAGTTCACATCAATGGAAGCAACACTAACATTGCTGGATACTATAATGTGTTGGTGTATAGACTTGTGAAGTTGTTAAACTCTAGTAGAAAGAAATTTGTTTTAAAAATAAAAATGACAATATATAACATAACTAAGCACACATGGAAGAGAAAGACATGACATTGATGAATTGTGAAGACAAGTTTTTAAAGTAACATGCTGTAACACTGTATGAAGAAAAATATTGTGTCAATTGCACACACAAGCCATTTCAGAAAGGCATTGTTTTCCAGTGTTTGTGAATGTTTTGAAAGAAAACAAAACATAATAAAGAAACAAGGAAAGCAATAATAGATAATTTTTGAAGTTTACTTTTGAAATGGGTCTAAAATTTTGCAACAAAAGCCTGATACTCTATTCATTAATAGATTTTGCTCAGCGTTCGAGTTTGTTACCTTCCCTCGCGCCTTTTTTTTGTGATCTTATTATATGAGCGATGTTGAAGAGAAGTCACTCGTCTCAGTCACACACTGCCTCTGCCATCTGTGGAAGTAATGTTGCAACTCTAAACACACCCGAAAGTCACATAAAATTTTGTATTTACAGGTATTCTATGACATCCTGCATAAAGAATGTATTAACTATAAATAATTTTTTCAATTTCAATGTTGAGTTACTAATATTTTGTTAAGAGATGGTCTGTTATGTTCAATTTTTTTTTAACAATAAATATTCAAAATTTAAAAATAGTACTTATATTATTGTAGGAAGTTAATTTTACTATTGAGTCCACAGTAAAATGAGTGACTCGTGTATGAATGCAACTGTACTGAGCAGTAGTGATATTATATCTTTTCTCAGCTCTTAATTAAATATTGAATAAGAAAAGTATCTAATAGTTTTATTTGTTTGGTCTCAATGTGTCTTCATTAAATAATCACACTAGTCAACTATCACACAAATTAGTTATTTTACAGTTGTCTGGCAACAACCACATTATACTCTTGTGGAGTGTCACACTTTTACCAAGCCATGTTCACCCAATCACAATATAATCCAAAGCATTTCACAGATAAATTCAGTATTGATTTTGTTTTGTAAGGTGATGTGAACTGTTGTGAATTCATTGTTGATTCATACATTCACACATACATAATAAATTTATCAGAAAGCTAAAGAAGAAGTAAGAATGAAAAAAATACACATATGGTGTGGTTACATTTATGAATGTCTCCAAAAAGCAAGAAAATATGCCATTTTAGTGTAATAAAATATCTAATAAAATGCACTATATACAATAAATCAATGCAGGTCATAATGCACATAAAGAATCTTATTAATGCTTGAAGACTTGAATCTTAACACATGAACTTCTCCTCTTTATCATGTTTTTGTTATAATTTTTGATCACTTATTAGATGAAAGTAAGAAAACAGCATGATTTTGGAATGAAGTTCACGTGTATTCATTTATGTAAGGCTTATGTTGTGTGATTCTGTGTACAATTAATAGTGCAACATGGAGAACATTTTTTAAGACATTTGTGTACATCTACTATAAAATATATATTTTTGGATGGTAAAAAACAAAGGGATTCACATTCAGTACCAAGTAATTAAAGGTTAAATGAATCAAGCTTACTTGTGAGTTCAAGATTATAGCACAACAAGCCAACATCAAGATTTTGCATCGTATTGAAACAAGGAAATTGGTGTGCTGACAAAAGGAAATTTGGGGACGTGTTATACTTGCCTGCCGTCAGTCATCTGCGGCTAGGGAGAGTGAAAACAAATTGTGACATGACATGATTGATAGGTCTTTCATTATACACACTTAAACCAAGATCAATCAGTGTGATTGCATTGACAAGAATAAATTTAATTTATAAATAGGTAAGATATACACAAAAATTATTTGTCACAATGTGAAGAAAGGGCAGTGAATTATAAGCTGCAAATAAGGTAAATAAAGCTTAGCCTTTGGATTTAGGATTGCATTTCACAAATGTGTTTCCTGACAAACTCCCTCTTACAATAACTTAATTCACAAGTTCAAAGCATTTAGTGAACACTATAAAAGCAGAACCTTAATGAAAAGAAATTACTTGTTATATGCAAAATAACAATGTGATTTTAGCAAGAAATATAGACCTATGAGAGTATTCCTTTCTTTGACAAGTATTTTAATTTTTGTGGTATTGTACTTTGAAAACAGTCTTTTCAATGGTGACACTGTCCATCTTCCTTCACACACACACACACATGTATAATATTTATATATGCACATACCCACAAAGTAAACATTTTCTCTTTCTGAAATTCATTTTGAAGATATCTTCTGTAACACCACTATTTCATCAAGGCATTTACATATATAGGCATCCAATTACATTTTTGTTCAGGAACCAGGAATAAAATAATGTTGAAGAGATTGTATTTGTCAGCAAAATTATAAAATATTGATGCTCACAAATCTTCCATTCAAGGGGATAGTTTCTATTAGTTGTAGTAGAAAAGCACATCTTGGCTAGTTGAACATTCTTCAATATCTTCCACTACTCACTGAACACTGTTTATATTGCCTATCTCACCATGCAAGAGAATCATACTCAATTTCTTCGAATTCATCACCTGAAAAAAATATGCTTTGAATTAAGCAATTTTTACAACTCACTCATCCAGTGCACTTTTAACTTAAAACTAGTTGGCTTTAGTGCACACAAATGAAAAGGTGATAACACGTATGTATAAAAATATTTTCTTGATGAAAAATGTGGCTGATAAGATGAAATTTGAACCTCGTATACAAGGTCCAATGGCTTGGTAAAAGTGATGATTATATTGTCCATTGCAATCTAATATATTTTGGAAATATTACGCATGAAGTCTAGGAGCATGTTCACGGTAGTGGTGCATTATCTAAAAATTCCTCTCACCCCACTTGCATTACAGAAAAAGCAATATGTTTTGCCTGAACTAGAGCAGTTTGTTGTACACACTTGCAGATGGGTACCTTCAGCTGCATTTATAAGAAGTTTCCAATTCAGCAGTCATGATGCTGTTTAACTTTCCCTCAAAATAGAAAAATAAAATGTATGGTTACATTGAAAAATCATGCATAAGGCATTTATCATATTGATTCAATATGGAAATGCAGGGGAAATTTCCTAGTTAGTTTTAGAAAAGACTTTAGAGAAGGAAATATTCAGGGATTTTGTCATTAAAGAACTCTATAGCCAACATTTTTAGAAAAGCTTCAAGACAAATGGGGACTATACAAATATGATTTTCTAAATCTCATGCACAACTCACACCCTTCTAATACTTACATATATCTATAGGACCCCTCTAAATCTTCCTGAATCATAATAAACAACTTAAGAGTTGTAGGTGGTGAGATTAGTACAGTACAGTGGAGGTCTCACGTACTACCCCGGTGCTCGGTGTAAGCGGTTCTTTGCGCGCAGAGAACAAGAAGCAGAAGAAAACAATTGAAAAAACATAAATAAAATGCATAAAATGAAGTTATAAGATGGACAAATAAAAAAGATATGAAATTGTACAGAAGAGCTAGCAAAATAAATATTTCATGCGTAAATGAAGAATAACCAATTCAACTATTGTTTGAAATGAACTTTTTAATATTTTGATAGTTGTTAATATTTTTAAAGAAAAAATATGCTTAATATATGCTCATTCAAAATTCAATAAAACTAAATGTGTCATCATGCAATATTTGCTTTAATAAATATTCATCTATACCATCTATTTCTTACAGAAATGCAAATTAAGGAAGGGCTTTATGATCTATGTTTAAACAGAAAGCATTTGGTGCAAGATAAATTTTAGAAATTATATTGTACTGTTTTTTTTCCTTCACTAATAATAATTGCTGTAAAGCATAAGAATAATTTATCTAAAGGAAGCCAGCTGAATATAATTCAATACTAACAATTCTAAAACTAAATCAGTTAAAATACTTTTTATGTGTGCAATGCAGAAGCATTATTTAAACATTATCAACAGATGAATCATCTACTGAATTTTAAAGAAAGAAATGATGCAATAATATAGATCAGTATTAGTAAGAAAATTACCCCTCCTACCTCTTGGATCATGAGGATACCCGTAAGCATCATGATGGACTCCTGCAGGAGCAAGATTAGTTGTTTAGTCAGTTTCTTGACATGTTAAGGAAATGAAGAGGATGGAAAGAGTTTGAAAGGATTTATAAACTGATTGTATGTAAACTTGAAACGGTAACAGAAATTCATTTCAGAATTCTGTTTAACTCTTATGACTTGAGAACAGATATTTGCTTTATTTTATATTGTTACCTATCATTTGTATCACTGTGTTCTTTGTCTCTTTCATAATATTACAAACACTTTTTTTAAACCATTAATGCTACTACTTACTTGTATTTCTAAAATGTGATTTTCTATAAATTCAGTCTATAATCTTTCAATAAGCATTGGCATAAGACAAAATTTTGCTGCTTTACCATATAAAAATTAAAGAGTACCCATAATTCTATCATTCATACATGATAAAAAAGGGATGTTTTTAGAAAAGTTATTTTAAGATATTTTTTTTTTTTAATGATAAAGTTTTTGTCTAAAAATCTTATCATTCATATCATATGGAATACTCAAATATTAAAAATAGAAGAGGAGGAATTCAGATTTTTTTGAAGACAATTGAATCTTAGTAGAATTTGTTTCAATAGTACAATCAGCTGAAAGAGTAATGCATATATTTGTGTAATTTCACTTAAATTTCAGCTTAAGTTCTTTTTAGCTCTTAAAGAGTGATATTTCCTTTTTTATTTTTTATTTTTTAAATCCACAGTCATGAAGTACATATGCATTTTTTATGTACACTGTTATTTACTTTGCTTTTGGTGTCCTCATTTCAGTGTTTTGACTATTTTCACACTTTGAATCAAGATAGAAAAACATAACTTGGGGGATATGTGCTAGAGCAGTGGTACATACTACTATAAAAAAATTGACAATTTTACACATTCACATTTATTTTATGTTATTTTATGTTATTTTTGTGTATATTGTAATGAATGTATGAAATTGACTCATGTTTTCAACCAACACGTTTTTTTAATGTAGGTCCCATGTACAGTTCTGAAGATTGAAATAAATTTTCCGAAACGTGGGTAAACAAATATTAATTAGGATTACATCCTAATGACTAGTTGCCTCTATTACAATGCTCACTTTTTTCCGAAATATCCCTTTGGTCCTATGTAAGCCAAACTTGGCCATACGGATTGTCCAGACTAACACGCATAAAATTGAAGTCACGAGTTGTGACTGCAAACAATGACATCACCAATTATATTAAAATTTGGTACGCTAGATTAGGAGTTGCACAATTTTTGCTACTGCTCGTGTATAAAGCTTCCTCGTTAAATTAGATGGAATCTAAACATCTTGCAAGAGGCATCCACCACGTATTACGTCTTACTGCGCTTAAAAACCTGAAAGCGATAGGAAATTAAAAAAACACAAGAATATAATAGATAAAATAGAGGATAATAATCGTATCATAGAAGCATATTTGTCGCCGGCTATAGGGCGCGGTAATTTCCGAAGGCGTGCGCAGCCTAAAAGAGGGGAATCACATTATAGGGCCTTTGGGACCCCTTTTCCATTTAACTTTTTTCTCTTATATATCCCATTTTTATAGAACATAAACTATACTACAAGAAGGATGAAATTATACATTAAATGAAACAATTAACAAATACAATTGATTTTATGTTGAACTATTTGCAGAGTTGCCAGATGGTTTAGTTTCGCAAATTTCTTGAATCAACTCCAACAATGTACCAGCTTTAAAAAGAGGAAAATCCCTGGCTGAAGTGAGAAAAGGTAATCTCTACGTTAATGAGGTTGAGGAAACTGCTATATTATTAATATCATAATTATGTACTACAGGGGCAGTTCTAATCGATCAAAATCGAATTATGAGGAAATAGAATTTAAGAGCAGTCCGTAAACATATGTGTATCAAGGGAGTCTACATTTTGGGAATTTAGCGTACTCTCTGCCACCACAGTTTGGAATTACTTTCATGTAGACCGAAATATGTAATATCTCTTTTTATACTTCATACGCTATTGATTACGATGTCGTCTAATAACATTTAAAGATACTACATTCCGCACAAATCTTAATAGATGCATCCGAGCACAGTTGTGTGTCAAATAAAGAACGAGTACACTATATCTTAAAAAATAGTGTTTTCTAATTTTGCACAAACATTTTATTTATATTCTTGTTTGTCATCAGATATGGTGCTGTCTTTTGGTGCGGGTAAGCCTGGTCACCCAATTTACACCATTCCCTTTGACGAACGAATTCGTTTTTTTAGCGAATGTGCGCATTCACAGTGGAGCTTTTGAGGTTCCGGACGCCACACTGCGCCAGATATGCGTCCACTAAGACCCGATTTACTCGCTTCCATTTTGAGAAAATATTCATCCGAGTTCAAGTTCCGATTAACACGCTTCCTTTTGACAAACGATGTTGGAAGTTTTAGCAAACGCGGGCGTGCGCATGGTGCTCTGGCACCCCAGAAACATCAATGGCAGGCGCGAGTTCGCTAAAACTGACACAATCGTTCGTCAAAGGAAGCAGGAAAATCTGTTCTTAGTGAACGTTTATATGCATATTGAGGCCTCTGGAACCTCAGAAGCATCATTGCGCATTCGTGGGTTCGCTAAGGTCTATGTCAAACGAGAGTGTCATTAACGCGCGGCACCTAACGCTGCAGATGTCAGCTGCGAGGATGCGCGTCTACACTTAAACAAATCTCTTCATGCATGTCTCGAGAGACACGCCTCCGAGAGACACGCCTCCGAGAGACACGCCTCCGAGAGACACGCCTCCGAGAGACGCCTCCGAGAGACACGCCTCCGAGAGACACGCCTCCGAGAGACGCCCCCGAGGGAGTCGCCCTGAGAGACACGGCCGCTAGGCGACCCCGCTTGGCAAGGAGCGTCCTTAAGAACGTTGGCCTGCCGTATAAGATACTGTGTTAATCTATGACGTGCATTAAGTAACTCGTGTGCGCATCAGAGGAATGGACGAATCAGCGTTAGGTGAAGCGCGTCAACGCAACGCTTGTGTGACTCAGGAATAAAACTCTCGAAATTGTCCGTTAAAAGGAAGCATATATAAGGAGATTACTATAAGAAGGGTCCGCTTTGACAGCTGATGTTTGGCCATTGCTGGCGATGTGTCTGCAAGTTATGTCCATACATTTTTTTGGTCTGTGCTTTGGTTTTGGGTAACTTATTTTCAAATGGTTTCATCACTATCTCTTTCAATGTCATCGCCCTGCATTGCGTTCGTTTGTTTCCCAACCTGCCGAAGTGGACCCTTCTTATAATAATTACTCTATAAATCGCGTCTGTAACTCTGGCGTCTTGCAACCTCTCTTCACACATGAAATGGAATCGCGTAGTCTTCTCCCCCCCTCTTGGAAGCGTGGTGGGGGAGAGGTCTTTCGGCGGGGTGTGGGTGGGGTCGGTGGCGGGTGCGGGGAGCTCTCACCTGGGGGCGAGCTGTTGGCGGGGCCGCCGCGCATGGCGCCGCCGGGGTGCTCGGCCGAGGGCGACGCCTGCGGGGAGGGCGGGGCCTGGCCGCGCGGTCCCGCGCCGCTCGCCGTCGCGTTGGCCGTCGCCGCCGCCGCTGTCGCCGCCGCCGACGGCTCGGGCGCCGGCGGGTGGGTGGCGCGCCAGTAGGCCTCCAGGTACTCGGCGATGTGCTCGCACGCCTCCTCCAGCTGGTTCTCGTCCAGGATCACGTCGAACATCTCCGGCGGGCACTGCGCCAGTTTCTCCGCGGCCACCATCTGCACGTTGAGGTGACGCGCTTGCGACTTGCCGCGCGATTTGATTAGCCGTTGCAGCACCTGCGGAGGAACGCCAGGGTTAGGACCACAAAGTAGACCGTTACGAAGTGAAAATATGGATATTTTTTAGTTGTATGAATCGTGGAAAAGAGGCAATTGAGTAATGTAGCATCGGTTACTATGGACGCGAGTGTGGTTAGGTGGGAGACTAGGTTGAGTTCGCTAGAGAATGGGCGTTTGAATGTATGCCGGAAATACTAACGTGACAGTCTGATTTTGAAACCCAATTAGTAGAGACTTTAGGATATTCGAAGTTGGGCGAATTCTGGGGGAAGGCATTGCAGCAAATGAATCAATGGTTGTACAGTAAGGAACAATATATCCAAGGAAGAGAGGAAGGTAACCCTTGCCGATTAATCCCGAATTCATAATTTCATTAACAATACATTTAATCCTGTTTGGACTGTTTGGACTTAAAGTGTTCTTTTTTGAATTACGTCAAGAGAGGGGCCAACGGAGAGCGGCATTTGGTGAAACGCAATACTCCTGCACCTGAATTTATTGGCGCTCAAACGATCGCCACTCATGTGTGCATACACTGTTGCGGGAACATTCAGTAAATTCGTAACATATAACAAGCCAATCTATACTAATGAAAGTGAACTCAATGACATGTAACCGACATCGATACTACGAATAGAAGTGCAAGAACAGCTACGAAATGTTTACAGTCTCTTCGCCATGATTATAACAGTGTCCTCGCAAAGTTTGGTAAAATTTGGCAATGCAACACAAATACGAGAAATAAATAAGAAGAATGTTGAAGAATGAATTCAAGAAACATGTTGGTAGATGCCGTTATTTTCACCTGTCGCTAAGAGCAGATTGGTTTCTAATATATTCCGCCAGGGGCTAGTAGCAATGTGGCGGAACTTGCACATAATAATTTATTTCCTAATATATTCCGCTATAGGCCTATAGAGGTAGAGCAGAACTGGTACCAAAATTATTCGCTAGATGTCAGTAGCAGTGTGCAAGATAAACATTTTTAATCTAATAGTAATGCAGTGTAAAATGCTATGAAAGAAAACAATAGCATTTTATTGCAATTTGAACCAATTTCATTAAAAATAATAATCTTAAAAAACAGTGATTGATAAAAAATTGATGTTTTTCGTCTTTCACACGGAACTGGATGTGAAGAAAGTCCGAGCACCGTCGGGTATTTTGCTAGTATTGTGAGTATTTAAATACTGTCAACTACAGTCTGTCTTAAAAGTGTCAACTACTTGGGCAAGGAAAGGAATTTCACTGAACTCGGAAGGTGGCGGTGTTCCTTCTCACCTGGAACGTGAGATCTACATGGAGCACAGCCTCCGCAGCGACAGGCTTTAAGCCCCCCCCCCCCCGACTGGTCTCCAGACATGTGTGGTACAAGAAAGTGTGAGTATAAAGGGAAAGAAGGGGACAAGGATGAGGAAGGAAATATAGTGCGGTTCGTGACACTTTTGTTGGGTCCGCATTTGCCTGGCGTTTATCAAAGATACCACCGAAAACAAGCGTTCAGAATTCACGTCCAAACAGCGACTAAATTCCATCTAGTCTAGCTAGATTTGCAAATTCTGTCCCCGTCGGAATTCGAACCCTAGAATCTCCCGGTCAGATACACCAGTGCCATCAGTTGATGACCAGTGCCAGCTTTGCTGGTGCGGATTTTCGACACTAGCTTTAGGAGATGGGTTGGAACGGACGATGCCTTTAGATTATAACTGTAAAGGTAGATTGTTCTGATCGATCGTTTCCGTGGTTTCTACCTATTAACTTTTGACAGACTCTGCAGCAGTACCGCACGGTCCGTGAGGTGAATTTTCTTTTTTATTCTGACCGATTGCCTTTCCCATAGGGAAATGCGTAGCAACGAGTTAACTGAGATTCAGTTATAGGTAAATAGATTTGATTTTTTTAGCTCTCACGGTTATTTGTGATGAACTAATTGCATGTTCACTTGTTTACATACGCAAATATACTACATTAAATAATTACAAATGAATTTTATTTTTTAATTATTTACTTTTACCGCTATCGCAATTGACAGAAAGTTATGTAATGCTGCGCGAAAAAACGGCGAATTTTCGACAGAAAAACTCTTCTTACAGGGCCCTAGTAAATAAAAGTGGATAAATACAGTTGTTAAATTTAGGGGGGAAATCCACTTGGTGAACAAGAATCCATTTTTTGTGTGTCCTTGGTACCGAAAAATTGAATGACGTAAAAACTGGTACGAAAAAAGTTACTTTCAGTATCCAGTAGCAAAACAATGGGCAGGTTCAATGGATAAGTTACATTCAGAAGTGTCAGTGTCCAGAAGTGAAACCAGGTGCAGGCTCATTATTTTGTCCAATGGATCAAGGAAAAATGAAAAATATTGATCAAGGTTAGGTCACTGATTAAACTGATTTTTTAAAAAAAATGTCTCCGATACATTCGGTCTTTTAAAATATCACATAAAGGAAAGGTGTCTAATGTATTCGTGCCATTTCACTAATATCAGGCATTAGCATGCCTGTGAAGAAGCCCATGGGGTAGGAAGTTGTCGAACGAAATTGGATTCCAGTACAGCTCCATTTTCTCTTTTAAATCATGAATTCCCAAGAACTGAGTATTCGAACGTATCAAACCAATATTGCATTAAATCAAAACCAAATCGCGATGCGCCCCCTAATTGAATGCCTAGATTTTTCCCCTGGCTTCGAGTACAACTAACCGGCCTCTACTTTCTGAGGACGAGGGGTAGTTTTATGGTGAGGGGAAGAGGTGAGGAACAGCCAATCAGCGTGAGGCAGACCTTTGGTGCTCTCTCTGGAAGACTTTCAGTGCTCTTCTAGACCTGTGCGGGAAACGACGTTCTCGAAATTAGTGCTACATTGAAGTGAATCTGCCGTCACATGCGAATTAATAAGTTTGTGGATTTGACACTTGAAATTCCTAGGAAGAGGTTTTGACTCGATCGAGACAACTAAATGGGGCTTGTGCGTGAACACTTCATGGGAAATGTAAGGTACTGTATCACGTTTTGTTTATATTCAGTTGAGGAAATACATTCCAGTTCAAACGAATCTAAAATTTCTTTAATTTAGATATTATTTTACATTATTTCTGGATTTTCTCCATAGTTAGAGTTAGCGAAAAGTATATTAATGAAGTTTTTAACTGAGAACACGTTTTAATGTTAATCGCAACCATAAGTATTAGATCTATGCATTTGGATAAGTAAAATATGTTAAAAACTTCGTGACAAGTTTTCAGACCTTGATTAACCTATTCGTTAGAAAATAAGTCTCCGGCAAATTATTCTTCAATATCAATGTGTGTGTGTGTGTTTTGTTGTTGTTGTTGTTGTTGTTGTTGTTGTTGTTGTTGAGTTGACTAGATCAACAAATAAAGGTTAAAATTTAGTATACGGTACACCCTTTGAGAAGCGCGGCGGCGGGGCTAAAGCCCTAATTTCTGTACGTGCTCTAATAGAAATTAATAAAACTTACGGATAGGCGATTTTCATGGTTCGCCCTTCATATGATTTGTCCCTGCCGCATTGTAACGCCAATTTACTTTCAAAGGCAAGTTTTCTCGCTTCGCTTGCCCGGATCCAAGTCACGGCGAGGCTCGGGCCTTCGGCCCTCGCGTTCACTATAAACAGTGACAGTGAAGGCCGTCGAGACTGAGATGCACCGTAAACCCGGAATAACTAAATTATTTCATAATCCTTTATTATGTATATTATAATCTTACTCGAAAAAAATCTAGTACGTGGGCAGGAAATAGTTGCGGTATGCACTGTGAGAATTCTCAGAAATACTGACTCACTATGAAACGTGAATGTCAAACATATTTGACCTTGACATGTAATTTGGGTTTCCAAAGAACCCATTAACGACTTGATCACTAAATAACGAACACTGTCGATATTTGTTGCTAAATGAACGCCAAGGATGTGATTACAAAAAGAGTATTCTGAAGAACAGTATTGGAGGTTGTTTCTGAATACAGGAACTATACGCTTCGGCTGTGTCGTGATTTGTGAGTTTCGTTGTGCGCTCTACAGAGGCGTCATTGAAATTTGTGTGCACTAGCGCAGACTAGATCGCACGTGCATAAGGCAGTGTATTACAATGTGTAAACGTATTATTTTTCATGTTATTACAACGCAAAGTTCCTTATACGATGAAAGTCACATTAAGTTATATCTGAATCTTTTGTCCTCTATTAAACTGGAGGTGACGACGACTTTGATACAGGCTCAAGTGGAAACGCGTATGTTAATAACTAATGAATTATTAAAATCTGTAATTTACTAGGAATTACTGAAATTATAAACTATTTTAATTTTTAATGAAGTGTCCATTAAGTGGTGACAGCTTGTTAGACTATAATGTTACTACAGAGATTGAACGCTGCTGGTAGCGAGCGACCTTATATTTTCGAAAGGTGACGGCAACTGGTGTTCATCAACCCCCAGGAGGGTCGGTATCGCCTCCCCTCCCCCAATAAGTTATTCGATTAATGTATACGAATTTTGGAAAAATCGAAATAGATTATCGATATTCAAAAAACGTAGGCTAGAAGTTAATATAAAAACATCGATGCTTTGATTATCCCACCGATATCGCAACTCTAGTGTGCGAGCGTGATACCAGTACTTTTGGAGAGACGTAGGGGTATACGACGAAGGTAAAGATCATGGGCGAGGATGAGTGTGTGGGCGAGATTGCGGGGGCGGGGGCGAGGTTATACGTTTTGCGAGGTCTTAAAGTAGATGAGGGAGACCGGGAGAGATGCCTCAGGACATCAACTGATGTCACTGCAGTCCCTCCGACAGGGAGGTCTCGACGATGGGAGAATTTTCGATACTGGAAACATAGCCACGTGGAGTTCAATCGCCGTCTGAACGATAATTCTAGCGGTCTCCTGCTCTGATTGGTAGTTCTTTTGTTTTCTGCGAACAACACCCCGCGACCGCCGGAGCAATACCCTACCAAAAGAGAAACAGGCTGCACGCGATTTTTCCTACCTCTTCATTGTCCTATCCTGTCCCCTTACACACGCAGTAACACGCACTACACTACCACACATGCCGAGAGACCGGTCGAAAGCTTTGAGCTTGACCCGGCTGCGGCGGTGCTCAGTTGGTGGGAGATACCTAACTAGGGAAACCGCCACTAGCTGCCGGTAGGTCGGCGCCGAATCGCGCCGCACAGCGGAGAGAACATCACAGTCAACTCCGGAAAAACATGCACTACACTAACGGGCCTAATGACCCTAGTGTATTGACGCGGCCGGAATCACTCAGTCGGGGAGGGCACGCGCGGGGGGATCGTGGGTGTGCGGTTGCCATGGGGGCGTGTTCAGGAGGGCCGTGAGCCGGGTGAGCAGGGGGG